TCAACTTTTTATGAAAGGAAGATCTAAAACGGCCTCAGTATGTAAAAGTGGAGATGCACTGAATATATTGCTTTTATAAATTTGATAAAATTTAGGACGCCTGCCAGCACGAAGATTATGTAAAATATATTTAATCGTTATGTTGATATAAAATAACGTTGCTTTTTCGGAACCGATGTTTTACACTGTGGTATTCCTTTTAGCATTAATTTACTATAGAAAAATATTGCCAATTGAAGTTGAAATAGTATATTTGTAATGTTTTGATGAATACTCGCCTAAGAAAAGATCCAATCGCACACGACTCAGTACAGAATCAAAAGAAATGTTGAAAATTTCAACAGTTGTATTCATATTGACAAACTATTTCTATTCCTAGAAATTTGTTTAAAAACAAGATGTTGTGAACGACATAACATATTTGAATGAACAAATGTATATAAATGAATATAAATGCTGACAAATCGCATACAAAACATGTTGAGAAAATTCGAAAGTATGCACTATGCTTCATTGATGGTTGATGGGTGCTTCAATAAAGCAAGGAATGTAATAGTATGACTTTATTCGACGTGAGACAGGTGTACTTTTGCTTTTGATTAAACTTCCTGGAGATCATTGGTCTTTTGTACACTTCATTTGAGTCAGACCTTTGTCCGTTTCCATAATGAGATTCGAATTCTTAGTCTTGATGCTTGCTTTGTGATTGTGTTTTCTATTATTGCTTCCAGTTGTCATTTTGATATGTCATTTTTAACTTGCTTGATATTACTCAAAACACTTATGGCTTATAAATTTGTTTGTATCAACGTTTTTGAAACACAACCACATGCAGATTGTGAGAATGGGCATTTAGAGATGTTTTGAATCGTAATAGATCTATAAAATGTATTATATTTGCATGCACAAATACTAGACGTCGATAATACTTGCGAAAATTCAATTTGTCAATTGTACGACAGGTATGCCATCTGCTCCGACCTAATGGTGGTGCGCATTCCGGTTTTTCTTCCGCACTACCATTCCATCTAAACAATTCAATGTGGAACACAGTGCCTCTAAAATCGTGAGCACAACAACAAATAACATTTTAACCACATCGTTTGTTATTGTAAACTGATAGAAACAAAATGACACGCAAAAAAGTTTGCAAAAAAAGCAACAAAAAACAAACTCTTTTCTCACCTTTTTATGCCGCAGTAATAATTTGACATTGAGCTGTGCAGGGAGATACCAATATTAAAATACACTGTGTCATTATATTGATATTGCAAATACATGTGTATGCGTGCATATCAATCAATATACGTATCGACCATTTTACATATCGACAAATACATCACTTGCTATATATCCACATTTCTACCTACTTAATCTGCCAAAATACAGTAGCACATGACAGCACATGACATATTTGACGCTTTAGGTATTGAGCCCCAGCGTATTTATGACCTGCTATATTTCAAAGGTCAATGTAAAGTATACAATATGTTACTTGAAAGTCAATGACAATGACGTGACAGAAAGCAATGGTAAAACTAGAAGCTAACACTGAATTTTAAAACAAATGTATTTAGATTAAAGTTTAAAGTATCGTTTACATTCAAAATCATCATCGTTTTGAATTGAATAAAAGCTGAGGTCATCAAGCAATTTGTTATAGAAATAAGTGGGATTAGTTTTCTTTCAATTTCCCGTTGCAATGTGTTATCCGTTAGAGCAAATCTGTTGTTAAAAACATCGTTGAAAATGGGTTAGAGTCGTACCTTTTCCAGGCTATACATAATGTATTGACTTCCAATATACATTGCTGGTACTCTAATTATGCTGATAATAATCATTTGTGTGAACATACCGAAGTCAACAGTCTATCTGTACATGTGATCATATGTTCCATATAGCGGGGGAATTTATCAGTTCATTACCAATAATTTACTCTCTGCTACATAAGTTACATCTGTTTCCTGTCACTGAACCGTGACGTGGTATCATACTGGGAATACACTCCCATTAAACTACGTGCCGTGTTGAGAGTTCAAAGAGGCAAGACAAATTGGCTCCCTAGATGTAGGTAGAATGGTTTGTTGATGCGTTTTCAATATGTGATTTTACCCTCTTTGTGTCAGAAAACAGTCTGTTTATAATCGACGGGTTGACCCTTTTTCAAAACATTTTTAATGATAAATAAAGATTGCCTCAGAAGCAGATCTGTTCTAACCTAATTATTATTGTAACAGTGTGTGTGTGTGTGTTAATGTGTGATAACATACATCAACACTAGAGTTAGACTAATATATCATGAGTGAATCAAATCCAGTGTGCGGTCTGTTACCTTAAACATTTGTCAACTTTCAATTACTACTGATATACAATTGTCAAGTTTGACAGTAAACATTGCGACAATTGTAATAAATCTTTATTGTAATGAAAAGAAAACTATTCAGTGCTGACTGAAACCTGTGACCAGTATTGTTTACATTGATGTGTTCATAAAATACGACGTTACAAAGACATGGTTTCATTTCTTCATCGTTTATTTATAGCATGACATGAAGCAGTGTGCAGGTAAATATAGCCATATGATATTGATGTTTCGGGTTCTGTTGACACTGAACAACTCTTTGATAGTACTTCAATGTACTTGGAATTTTCCTGAAGTGCACTTCAGAAAAGAGATGCAAGAAAAACACAAATGGAATAATGAGCTTAATGCATATCAAATCGAAATGATGTAATAGTCAACAAAACCATCGAGCATCATTTCTGTAAAACAAAACTTTTTCGTGGATGCATCATACACACGAAATCCTTGTGATAAATCCTTTATTACTTGTTATCACCAGGAAATCCACACAAATAAAACCCCGACGGAAAGTAAAGGCTTTTACAGCAACATTTATGCAGTAAACGTATTCACAACATTGATAATATGTAAACGTACAATGTATTTTTATTCTCCGAATCAGAAGATACTTATGTTAACAATATCACGAATGACCTCAAATGAAGTTATCATGTGTTGAGCGGCTCTTCCTACATCGATGACTGTGTGAGTACACGTTGTATATTCGTGAAAACATGCAACGTGGACAGAAAATCTATAAAGGTTATGGTAGAATGTCAAAACACTTACAACCTTGGCGTTGTTACCATAGTAACAAGAAACATCATTGTCGTGTTTGTCGTCATGAGGTATTTCACAACAATATTCATGGAATAGCAAATTTTATGGTACCAATGATAAGTCTTTAAACTATGAATCAGTTTATATACATGGATATATCTTATAAATATTTGGTCTCCCGAAATATCAAACTTGACATTCTATACAGGAGTAGTCCGATATTAAATACTGAGATATAACGAACAACAACGATGTTAACAATATCACCCGGTGTCATACGTGTACATATTGTTATAATTTACATTACTCTTGGTATTACCTTTACTAATGACCTACATATCCAGATGCGAAGCACATGTATCTATATATCTGAAAGCATGCAACATTTTTAATGTATATATACTAAATTCCTTCATTGTGCATTGGTGCCTATTAAAAGCATGCCTGAACATTGGCAGTCTGTTTTTCAGCTTTGTTATTTTGGTGTTACAGAAAATCCTGTCCTCGAGCTTCCATGGCTTACGTGATGCTTCTTTATTTTACACTTTTGATGACGATAAAGCATTCATTATATATGCACGTGTACTTTAAAAACGACATGTTGATTAAACCGTTTTTATAGATCATAGTCGATTTACTGTCATACTTTCTGCTTCATTTCCTGATTGCAAACATATTATCTCTGTGTGCACTGTACTTATAGTTACTACACATCAAGTATGTTAATATTCATTAGTGTATTCTAGATTCTCCGGCATACCCACAGAACTCTGAACTCCCCGAAGAGATAATCTAATATCCAATGTGGTCGGTACCAATAAAAACATTGTAGACACAAGCTATTTTCCTAACAGATTTAACCTATTGGTGCATGATGCTGATTCATGATACAATTCATACGCTGGCGTTGAAATTCAACAGTCTATAATTATCATTAGAATGGTATCATTTGACAACACAACCTGTGTAATGCAAATAGAATTTAATTTATTGTGTTCGTTTTATTTGCCTAATTCGTTTTAATTATTTTAAAGACCTGTGGTTGACAAAATTGATTCAATGCACAGAGTATGCAGACATAATTGATATTCAATTGATTCTCACAATATGGATTGACTGATGTCTTTGTCAAAAGCAACCACCGATACTGATTTTCCATCCCTTAAACTTCGTGCAAGCACAATAGTTTCACACATTTGTTTAAAGTATAAGACGCAAATAAATGTAATTAAATTTTGTTTGAGTAAATCAAAACATACATTACATTGTTTTTATCTTTTTACCAGAATTACAATAGCCGTTTTTATATTGAATAAACCAAAAGAGTAGGTACTTTTAGTCTCGTGTTTTGCATAATCAAAATAAGAGAAAAAATCAGTTAGGTGATAGCTCTAAAGATACTATACTCAGCGACAAACATTTCAATCTTTTGATTATATCAAATAAATCATTGAAATCAAATGCCTTACGCTTCGTGTATTTTATGTGATAACACACACATGTATATTTTCCGTTACAGACTCAATTGATCATTCAACAAGTCACCTTACGTGTTTTTTCAATAAAGTAACACATATAAGTACATTTAGGAACATAAACTAATTTTTTTTTAAATATTATTGTATCATTATGGTACAGAATCACTCTCTTCTATATATAACTGTAGCGCAACCGAATACAACTGTAACTTAAAAAACCATATAGCCCAACACTATCGGCTTGCCAAACATGTTTTAACATCGTGTAATTTGGCATATTGTCATTATTAGTATCTGGAGTGTTAACATGACTATGGCGTTCTAATTATATATCATGATATACATTTATTTGAATTTAAATATTAAATATACTGACCAGTATTTCCTTTTCGTTTTAGACCATGAGTTTGACGATCTTGAGATGCAGGTGGTACGTTATAAGCCAGAAGGGCTTGATACGCTTTGTCGAAATACCAAATTCTCTCGGAAGGAGCTACAGATAATGTACAGAGGATTTAAACAGGTAAATATTCATTACATACTATCTTTCACATATACAAATCTGTGATTTATTGGGAGAAATGAAAATTTCCTCTTTAATGCCTTCGACTTTATGTTTGTTTGTTGTTGTTTTTTTTAATGCTGTTCATCATGTAACTGTTTTGGGGGAGGGGCTATGCTTCAGAATTCCATAGCATGGTCGGCCGATTATCATCTCATTCCTTTTTTACAAACAAGAGGACAAAAAACTGACTATTCTGTTACATAACATATTCAGATATGAGCATAAATACTACTTGTTAAAATCTTTTATCGATAATCTTCTTGATAGTCCCTGTCATTGCCAAAGCTAGGTACAACCAAATATGTCTTATTTGTTATAATAATTGTATTAGGTAAACAGAAACGGTCAGTAGGGTTAGCAAATAATGGATAATGAAACCTATCGAAATAAAACATCAAGTAAAAGTAGTAAATATTAGCCAAAACTCTAATATACACAGTTCATAATAACTTAGTTGACACGAAACAGGGCGAATATAAAGATTCAAGTTGTCTCTTACACTATGGGTATCGCCACGTCATTAGTCTTAAGCAGAGGACGTAAACATTATACAAATTACACAAATATTGGCAGCGAGTTTCAATAAAATTTCGAATTGATACAGTAGAACCGGATATTGGATTAACTGTATCGTATTTTGGTTTCTATATCATTTGTTTTGTACTTTAATACAGTGGGTACAAGACGAGAACGTTCTGAGGTTTCGATGTTAATACTAAAGCCTATGTGGTAACATGTGCATTTCCACGTACATTGAACAAAACGAATAACATCATATCTTTTATTGATATTCTACTTGTATTACATGAAAGACATATATTATTACAAGTGGTTAATCATTCGCTGGAGTCTTAATTATAATATCATGAACTGTCAAATAAATTAATAGTTATCCCAATGGTATATGTGCTCTGAACAAATAATCTGTGTACTCCGAAACCCTTCCACAGTAATGTTATAAATCTTGCCTTCTGTCGTGTGTTTTTGTCCATTTCCTATAGCAATTGCAAGGACGAAAGAACGCATAACAGTAAAGCATGCGAAATTCAATTACCTGTTTTTCAATGTTCTGAGGCGTTCCATGGTAACCAGAGCTCAAGCAGTTTTAAAAATATGTTTGTTTCTTAGTTCAAGTATCTGTCCCCTGTGAGAAGTGGTAGCTTTTACTGTGAGATGGCTGCATCAAACTACTGCGCAAGCAATACCAATTCCTACCGCCATATACGTTATCCTGTCTTTAGTTTGTGCGACGATAATGCTGCATTAAGACCTTGTCCCCATGATAGCTGTGTCGTGTACAATGATGTTAACTGAGAAGGCAGCATTGGTGCATGTTATGCAATGACAATCCGATTGGTGTACCATGCAAATAGATATGTATATGAACTTTCCATTTTAGATAGAACTATGTTACATGTGCACATAGCTATTGCTACGGTTTAGCCAAAACTGCTATTACCAGTGACACGCCTAAATATGAAATGTCTTATTTGAAACTGAATTCATTATGTTCAGTGCTATATTTGTGTATTAAAGAAGACCGCATTCAGAGGATTGAAATAGAAAACCATGAGCATTATCACTCTTGGATTTCCCCTCATTTGTATGAATCAACTTTAGTGTAGTGTGCTGTAAACCTAAGCATATTTACAGCGTGTTAACATCTAAAGGCAGACACAGTGATAGTCATTCGTTAAATTTTGATATGTTTGTTTATTTTTTGCCCTAAAATCATCAAGTATACATCATGTTGATTATCAAAAATAGAATGTGAAACTATTTTTAATCGATATTTATAAGCAGATTCTTCGAGAATGACAGATCAAATTAACGTAATGTAACTTCCCTCGTATAACATGTACTTAACAAAATGTAGGTTTTAAGACTATGTCATACATCCGTGGGTTTCGATTTATTTTCCTGACTCCCCGATCACAGACCATATTATCTTTGTCTATGTGTCAATCAAACGCTTGAACTCTCCAGACAGATTCGTGATCAATAGAATGTTTGTCTCTCATCTCTGATATTTTCATCGTGTTAATGTATCAAACTAATTTATTAACCTACCGTTCTGCTATCAATCAGCGGGAATCAAGACCACTCACATGTCTCCATCCAATAGATGTTTTGATGTCTTATCAAAACAGTACATCTGCTAATTATAGCAACTAGCTAGGACAATTTTCCCGTTTCATTTGATGCTTAGAAAATCAGACGTTTTCTTAATGCGTTTTTGGGAGACAGACACTCTGATCAAAACTGATACGATCCAATTCCGATGCCCTATAATGATATAATATAGCTGAATAATATTTTGGGGTCATTCCGAACGCTCTACCGCCTTAGATTCACTTGAAATTGAATAATATAAAATATTCTAATTTTCTCTTTTAGCTTTGATAGCAAAAACAATAAACAAAAGCAAAGTTGTGTTTTAGTAAAATGTATCCTTGATATTGTAACAGAAAAACATTATGAGAATAGTTCATAACGTTATTGCTTTTAATTCTGCACAATTAAACGCAGCTTTAAATAAGTCGTAAAACAAAGATAGTTCTGAAAATGAAGTGCACTAGTAATGTAAACCCATTCGATGCATGAAATAATGCAAAAAGGTATATATATAATTATAGAATCCTGAACAATTTCAGAGTGCATAACGTAAAATAGAAGAAAAGATTTGCGGATATCTCACCTCAAATGAATTCATAGATTTTTCAACTATGCCTTAGAAACGAGATATTTAATTTCCCTTGTTCCGACTTCCATTTTGAAAAGGCCACATCATTGTGTCTGTTATACACTCTTCAGAGTGGCTCTATTCTTGGCGATAAGGAAAAGGGAAAAGCACATATATTGCCTTTCCTTGAAAAAGCTGTTTGACATTGACTTAGGTCCTTGTGAAACCCCTTATCCTCTGTGAGTAAGGCAATAATTCCACTCCTCAACTATGATATACCGAACTGGATAGAGTCGGTGTTCTATGTTTTCTATGACATCTAGCAGTTAGGGAAACTAAAAAGGAAAACAAATGACTGTCCCTTTCAAAATTAAGAATAATGAATAAGGGACGGTACCTTCCGCTGTACTCTACAATGTACGATAGGAATTTTGTTTTTGAAATCTGATGTACTTAGAGCGTGGTAATATAGGTAATTCTTTTATCCAAATATTTGAAGGGCTTTGGAATACGATTAAAGTGTACTCTACCATTTTTATTTGTCGAAAGTTTTGGCGTCATCGAACAAAGAATTTGTTCTTATATCTAAGAATCGACATGAAATGAACTTTGGTTAGTCAGTGGATTTAGGAAACAAACGCACATGGGCTGGTGACTATATATTTCCACCTCAACAAAGTAATCGAACCCATGTCTGCATCACGGACAAGATGGAAAGCCTGTCTTGGTGCAATTTTGGTATTTAAATTTTTTGCAGAAAACGATAGTTTATAAGAACCTGATAGCACTGCAGTCGCCAGCATTGCAGCGTTTTGTATGGGAAGGTTTTCCTTATTTCAGCTAAGCGATTGCAATCAATCCTGGATTGGAAAAGATGCGCACAAGTGTATCGGCCGGGACTCGTTCCGCTCACTACGCATGTCTGCTGGTGATGTGTTAGGACCCCATTATCCTTCGTCCGTCAATATCTTTCGCCGATATTGCGAACCAGGTCCACAGTATAGATTTATATATCTATAAACAGGGTCACAAATCGATAAGGAGATCCGCGTGGAGGAAAATCTAATTCCGCCATTAATCAGCGAATACGGCCATTCGTTACTGTTGAAGTACTGGTGGAGTGTCCGTAATATCATCAGCACTTGTCCGTTAGTAGCCCCTGGAGGGACAATCCTCCATCATCGTCAATTCTAAATCTAGGACAAAATCCGAGACAGTCACCATTACTATGATCATCTCCGCCAGTTTGGCATGTTTTTACTTGTACCCGTGGGATTGTTTCAATGTGTACAATCAAAAGTCTGCTGCCTTAGCAGTATGTGATTTTTTCTGTTTTCGTTAATATCATATTTAGTCTTGGTTGATCAGTATACCTAGGAGTTCTGACATGATTAAATTATAAATGCAGTATATAGATTAAACTTCCAGCTGTAGTGGAAAGCATCATGAGCTGTAAAATTCTTAAATTTGATACTGAACAGGCAACGTGTAAGCGGTGACCGCATATGAAAAAACGGCCAGTACAATTAGTGAATGCATCAACGCATAATACCCTAGGAGATTCAGAAAAAAAAGAGGGAGGGGGGGGGGGGGGGGGGGGGGGGGGGGGGGGGGTGACGGATGTTCATACTGCGTGATCGCATGATTCGACTGCTACGTACAATTGTTATTTTCCAGGAGCCTTCTGGTTGGGTACATTGGTGGGCGTCTTTGATCATTGATGTTCTATAGTTTATATAATTTGCTGTTATGTTCATGTACATATGCTTATGGTGTGTTGGTTATAAGCAAATTGCGTACCACGAAAAATGCACTTTGTTTGCACAACGCGTAGGTACAACACCATATTTACAAAAGAAAGCAAGAATATATTATTTAGCGTAATCATGAGTTAGTGCTTTTAGTTAAAACGTAAAACGCAAACAATGTTAGTGGACAATAACCCTTTGAAATGATATATCAAAGCAAATAGTTTTATCGTATATAATTCGCACGGAGCTAAGTCATATTGAGTATTTTGCAAATATGGAGGTGGCTGGAGGATGTCATTCTACAAATTTAATATCAGCAACAACAACTAATGACAACAAACTGGTGAAAAGGGTCACTTCGTGATATATGTACCTGTTTTCTGGAGCTAACCTGGATATGGATATGTGCATTTTATGAACCAATAAAAAAGTACATTATGTCTAAACGTGTTGTAGAGGGCTCGTAAATGCCCGGGGAAACTCAAATTAACCAAGCTACAAAAACATGACATCTCGATGCATTAATGAATTAAAGAGCGATGCGTTACATCATGAATAACAGGCATCATATAGCGATGTTCGTCAGCGGTACAGGTTTGCTATCAATTCATTGCACTTACGAAGTGTTAGGCCTAGTGTACCGGCGGACAGCGACGCCGATTTGACGGTGATTTATGCATTTTATGGATATTCTATACATTCCCTAATGCACGCGCTTTGTACATTAGGGACTTTTTACACAAACTTAGATAAATACCAATGTGTCACGGAAGCCTTGCGTAACTGTAATGTACACAATACACAAATATTAAATTCACAGACACCTTAGTTCATCAAATATTGTTTATAATCCGACTTATAGAAAAATGAATCAATCATCAATGTCATAAGACGTAATTCATAATTTGTGTTGTGAAACCATATCCCCCACCCTAACCCCAGCTTATTAACACATATCGGCAAATGATTAGTTTTAGGTCGAAATGCTAAAATTGATGATGTCACATGGGTTATGACGTCACAAACTCTTCGCGTCAAATATGGACTGATTTACCTTTGCTTTCCGTCAATAAACATCATTATCGTTTATTTTCCCTAACCTAGAGAAAGAATTTCACTTGACCTTGATGGACATAGATTAACAGTTATCAGCCTGTAAACGTAGGTGTGTTTCCTCCTCGTGAACTTGACATACACTTTTAACACTTACATGACTTGTCCACGTCAATCACGTCGTTTTTTGGATATGAATTTACAAACACAAGATTGATTTGTATACAATTACATCTGTAAAAAGTGTTGTGAAACCTCGTATTCAATTGTGATATCTTTATCGAGTCATGACTATAGCTTATTATTATGCCACTGTCATATAATCTAGCTGATGTGAGATATGTTTTATTCCTGAAGTATGATATTCGGCTCTGATTCACTGTCATAAACCTATTGTCAACGATCAGCTGACACGGTTAATTCAGTGATATTTTATAGACGACATCTTCGTCGCAGTTTTGAAGTATTACCAATTGCATATACATGGCTACTCTTAGTCATTGTACATGTCAAGTTAGCCATATATTTTATCGGGGAAAATTTACAATTTACAGGGAAAACAACAATTGCTGCACTGTAAACAAACGTTCGTGACATCACGTAACCATTGGATGAGATATTACAATATCACTTAACTGATATCATGTTGTCACCAGCAATATACCGTTGACATTACCAATCGCCACAAGAGAATACGTCAACCGTTAACCCTTGGGAAACAGTTGCCTAATTCTGGACACGGGTTCATTAACATCACGACTGATTGTCTCCAATGCACAAGAAAAGGCTTCCAAAGGCTCAGTTATAATCAATAACACAGAGGAAATTAAATTTGTTTGCACAAAACTGTCATATCAGACTACGAATTCATTTACCAAAACTCGTTTCAACAGCATTGCACGGAAACCTGATATGCATTGATATGGCGTCTGTTGATGGAAATTTAAAGGGATACAATATCGTCGCATGATTGATTAATGTACTATATACATCAATGATTCCAAAAAGTCAGTTTAATAACAGCTGTTCTCATTAGATGTTTACTGAAGCTTGGTCATCTTAAAAAACTAAATGCATTAAAGATAACATTTACGACAATTAATGAAACTTAAGGCATTCTGAATATCTCATGAATGACTTACAATACATTCTAGATAAAGTAGCTCAAAAAGGAAAAAACAAGGTAAGAGAAAAGAGGAGGGGGAGGGTATAAAAACAACTTAGCAAAAACGATATACTTTTACCGATTTTAACTCATTTAAATTTTATTTTCGAGGTATCTGTAATTCCATCCCCGAAGAAAACACCATAAACAGTATGTTGTAAATATACTTATTGAATTGGTATGGTGATACGCAATTATGTCAGTTATGTCATTTAAACACCAATGTAAGCTATATGGGTGTCAGGAGGACCATCCTTGTTTGATCAATTGTCCGATCAAGTAACAATATAACATGTAGGTGAAGGCCAAGGGGTCTCGTCGCTCCAGTGCTTGTTTAGCGCTCCATTGGAATGATTAGTGTGTCAATAGGTCACGCCATCATACTTTATTTTGGTTTTTTATTGTTTCTAACTTACCTTTTCAGGAATGTCCGACAGGGATAGTCAACGAAGAGACATTCAAAGAAATCTATGCTCAGTTCTTTCCTCAGGGCGGTATGTATTACTCTTGTCTTCGTAATAATGTTTACAGCTACAGATACACCAAAAAAATTAAAAAAAAATAATAAATCTGTATTTTTTAAAATAATTCAATTTGTCTCGGATATTGCTAAATCTAAAGCAAGATCCATTTTACACATTGTGACATTTATTTTAAGTATACTTACACCGGGATTTGAGACAGTTATCATCACCATCAACTATACAACAAGTATTGATTTCTTGGCTGTCTTCACACTGTCATGTGCGCAGAATTTCGTATTAAGATTGTAAAATTTCTTCCCCTTTTCTATATAAACTGGTTAACCACTCACATAACAGTGCTTTAGGCACAATCTGAAATGACGTCCCTCGCTCTCAATGTAAATTTTATTGCAAACATTTCGTTCCAGAATAATGATTGTCTTTATATACTTCTTATGTTACACGACGACCGTTGAAATGAAATTCAGACAAATCAAATATTATATGCAAGACAATCACCTTTATCCTTTATATTAAATAGACGTGAAATGGACATTTCGCGCATATATCAATACTTGGGAAACGTAATATTCGAGTCATGTATTATTTGATATATTTATTTTACCAAAAAGCGGCTTTAGGAAGAATAAAAATAACTAAGACGTTTGTCTAAAGTTTTGCATACGTTTGGATAACCAATCATCAAACGAGAAGGGATTATGAATATATTTCTAGCTGTCGATTGTGTATTATTACTTATATTACCATAATGACTGAAAAATATTGTTCGTTGGTGCGTGGAAATTAACTTTCTTATCCACGTCTTTGTTCTATAATTTATCGATTTTTTTACTTTGCTTTTCTCTATGGCATTCTCAAACAAACAATTTAATTATGTTGGAGGTAAAACTACCGGGAAAAAAGTGATGAAAACAGCCAGGTCATGCCAAAGCAAAACAACCAACAGTATAAACACACAGCTGCAGCATAAAGTTATACTTTTAGAACAGAATATTACTGTATTCAAGACAACAAGGAAAGAATACTACGGCGTCAATTATTTTGAGAAAGTGTACAAAATTGTAAATAGAAAGAGAAGTCGTTCTACATCATCTATGGTCACGGATTCTAATATACCACACCGCTTAAATGGAATAGAAAATGCAAACAACAGCGCCTACACAAGAAGATATTGAAATGTCAATTCACAAGCAAAGCAATACAGTGTCACTAGTCAAAACAATATATTCATACCGTCTGTTCATGTTGAAATAATATCATCTTTTTCGGAAACTGAGGAAATCAAAACCGCACATGGGTAGACATTAAGGTAATTCACAAAATATAACAGTAATAAGGTAACACCTCTTGTGCCATTTCCGTTAATTAGCCTTATGCAATCTATCGCGATGTCAACAGCATGACTTCTAATTAGCTGATGCAATTATTGCCTTTATAAACATGTCTATTTATTTTGTATAACATATGCAAATTTAAATTGTGTTTGCTATGTGACCTTTTCAGACTCCAGCGCGTATGCACATTATGTCTTCAATACGTTTGACCACGACAGGAATGGAACCATCAGCTTTGAGGTATGTTAAACAAAAGCATTTGCGAAGAATTCGTCAATAATATGACGCAATAACCGTTTATACGTTATCTTCATTGCGCCAACAGATGTGACCTAAGTCGCACATGGAGATCGACAGATAAACATATCCGCTTTACCACATTATCCTTGACACCCGGAAATTAAAATAAGGTATTTCAATCTAGTCACTAGAAAAACTATTTGAAGCAAACTGATTCTTAATCATGTTGAATACATGAATATCATATTACATTACTGATCATAGATCATGATTATGGGAAACTAAAATTAAATGTATATTTTAATGTTTAATTTTATATTTTAGAACTGAATAAAAGATGAAAGCAGCTTATGACAATTGTCAACACTTTACAAAAGAACGCGTACTGTATAGCACGTTCTAGAACAAGTTCGCATATTCGTGTGTCACGATAACTACTGAATATCAAATATGTGCATAGGATATTTCGTTATGATATTTGCTCTTAGAAGAGTATTGTTCATGTGATTATTTTGTACGTTTGTGTGATATTTTAAGAGGCATAATGTACACGTGTACTAACTGATATTGATATTTCCATATATTTTGTCTGTAGATTGTACAAGAGACATAAGTAAATAACACATTTCATTCCTAATTAGATTTAGTATATCGAAAAATTAACCAAAGATACAGCCGTTTCGTCTTCCTAGAATTCGTTAGTGATGCCAGGGCCCTAAAGTTAAAACATAGGAGACGACTTAGGATATAATGAAACTTTTGCAGGGACACCACTATCATCAACATACACTTGTTCATATACAGAAACATTTATGGATATGCCGTGTAGTTAGCAATAGTTAACCTAAATTATTGCGATATATAAATTATCATTAACATCAGCAAAACCATGCACCATACAAATTTCATAGACTATTATGACATCAATCTAAATCAAAATTAAATATGTATGCCTTTTTGCGTGTTGATAATACACAACGCCCATATCCAATTCTCTGAGTTCTAAACTATACAACAAAAGGTGATTTATTACCTATTAACGGGTTTCAGAATATTTAAGCACTGATATATAATGCAAGTTCAATATTGAGCAGTCACTTGTGAGAAATGGAAGTGCTCATATAGATTCATGTGCACTATTTTTATCAAATATAATATTTATTTAATACATCACTAATGAATATGTATTACCCCGATATGCTTGAGTTAATCCCCATAGTTGTTCAGAACGGGTTACATACTCTACATGAAGTCAGTTGCTTGATTTTGTTTGAAATGTTTCACGTACTCAACTTATACAAATAAAATAGGTAGAACAAGATTCCTTTGGGTGATTTTCGAAATGAAAGTCATAATACATACACCTTAACCTATCCGGTCACACACTGACAATACATTCCTATTGATTCAGTGACGTAGTAAGTATGGCTCATTCATTCCCCTAATTTCCCTAAGCGAAGTAACGATATTACTAACACATTCTTCTGACAACTTCGCTTCATCTATTCAAAGAGGAAGATCACGCACTGTCTCCAGGTACCTGTATTGGATATTTTGTTTTCAGCTTCCTCGCTATTACAACTAAAATCAGATAGATTTTAACTCATTTCAAACACAACAAATATGTGATACAAGCACAATTGTGCTTATTGTAACGTATACTGATAGCATTTCGAACGTATATGTAGTGTTGATGATGTCAGAGTTAGCTGGTTGTTGATGCTGAAGTGTCCATGTAGTTTTTTTGTATTAATAACATATTTGATATTAAAGGAAAGACACACAGAATATCGAAATCTATTAATTAGAGAGCAAATCCATATGCCAAATATGGTTACATGTATTGATGCATCATGATATTAATTAACATTGAATTCTCCTATCAGATCGTTCACCGTCAGAGGAAATCTGTCTTCATTATCATTTGTTTGAGGGACATTGAAGTGAAAAAAACTGAAACCGTTATCGTGCTCCTTCAAGCACCCGTGTGGTATTGTAACAGCCACAGATTCCGTACAAATTAATCCATGAATTAAGATTTCATCATGTCGATGAAAACCAGCCATCCTTTCATTTACTAAGGTGCAAAATCATTGATATGATTTTCGGAGATATAATTCAATATTGCACTTCCGATCAATGCCTTTTACCACTAATCATTAACACGCAGTGAATGCGATCATACCCACCAACCCCTTGGCAGCCTTAACGTTTAAATCAAAGTCAAATATTCACAACGCTAGATCATCACTCGTATTCCACTAGGTATAGAAATAATCAGATAAAGACGTTATCGGAAAGGTTTTGCTTTAAACTTGCACCAAAATCACTTAGTTCTCTGAGCTATTGCAGATGAAGCCATTTGATATCAATGACTAAATTTGTCACTCTTTGCCAACAGTCAAACCGACAAAAACAATCGACAATTATACAAAATAAAGGACTTATGTTTTATATCTACACATTAAGCGGAATTTGTCAGAAAAGCAATTTCGGATATTGTGATATTCAACCCTATTTACTTGTGCCGTTATATTTCATGTTGATAGGAAAAACTGATTTATTGTGAAGACATGTTCATACAATTGTATGTATATTGTGCAAATGACTGTACAAAAGCACCTGATCGCACAAGGCCGTCAAGGATGGTGCTACAAGGATGACTCACATTCATTTACATTACTTGAACATATGAGAGACAGGAGTGTTTCCGTTCCGATTGGAATATTATCTGCTTGTCAATTTTTGCTTGTTAGATCAATGGAGAACGGTTATGCTATTTAACTACTTGAAAGTTTTGTTTGTATTTCATTTAATTTTCATTTGGAATTTCAATACCAATCCAAAATGTATAATGGTGATAGTGCCCAAACAAACGTCAGTGTGCGATTTTTCCCTTTTGGACAATTATCGCAGAATTAGTAACAAAGTCATAGCACACGAATGGCTTCCTTTACAATACTTAAAGTTAGTAATCAACATGTTTGTTTGCCAAAGGACTGTTTTGCGTGGGTGACTTTAGAAGGTAATTTTCATGTCAGGATTTTCGCTATGCTCATCTTCACCAGTTTTTGTTGTCACTAATTGAGTGTGATGTCGTTAAGACCCGAAAAATGCAATCAGCAAACTTGCCAGTAAACATTCCCGGGGGTCAGCCATGTCCACCTCGCGATGCGATTACATGGTGTTAATTCATCGAATGCGTGAAGGCAGTTTCGTCTGTCGCTTAATTCACCATCTTTCTCGTTACTTGCTATTTGATGTTTTCAAGTTCTGAGTACATGCGACGCGCAATTCTTTTTAAAAAAAAACAGTTCCAGCTATCCAGAGTAATTTCGCGTTTGAGAACTACTAAACTCACTTCTGTGATTTATGAGCACCAAACATTAAAACATGGCATTTGATGATTGATCTTTGAAATTCTTCTAGACAACCAAATAGCCATGTTGACATTTTCAGAAATTCTCGATTACATGACGGAAGGAAATTCATATCCCAAAAGTGTAGTCAAATATCACTAGGAGCGATAAAGTTATACTAGCGATTGATCACCACCGGGCGTCAAACCGGGAACATCGCACAAATAATAGCATTAGCATCCTCATTAAACCCATTAGTCAAAAGATGAGTTGTTTTCTGGCGTCTTTCAGCTTCAAAATTTTAATTGAATACTTGGATTATCTTCTTCCGGTAATGGTTAATTATGATCGATCTTGATATAGCTTATTTTCTGTCCGCTAGCCGCCAGGTATATTCAGTTTGGCGTATATATCATATTGTCTGTTTAATGCACCTTTAGTGTACCTAATATCATAATGACTGCAGTTGATTATCAAGAATATACTAATCCTATTTCTCAAAATAACGTATACTTTTCAAATTATATAATCCGTTTTATTGATTTTAACACAAATTATAAATTGCTGTATAACATCATTGCTGAGGAGTTTTATCTTGCAAGAAAGAATGATAGCAACATCGTATGAGCATTGTTATAAATAATATTGAGTTTTCAAACAGAGCTTTACAATACAACGTAAAACTTTACAGCAATTGCCAATGATATGCTGAAAGACAAATCTATAAATTCGAGAACAAGAAGACCTGAAAGATAAGCATAACATGAAAATAAGTATGTAGTTTCTTGTCAAAATTCTATATTTGTTTACCTCTCAAAATTGATATGCCGCGTCTTATTTCTGACTTTCTGAGAATATACATTCAGTGCTTCACATGCTTCTTTAGCCGGTTGTTATGTCGAGTTAGGTCTGAAAACCATCATACATGGCCTTAGGGGTATCATCGATCTTATGTTCCAAGGCGGTTCCCATTTCCCTTTAATAAATATTAATACGATACTAGACATTGATTTTATATGAGTGTTTATTGAATCTCTCATATCTGATATATGATATGAGTAATAAATAAACAAACAAATATATTTGGCAAATTGCCAATGCCTGAAATTATCAAGCGATAACTTTTTCGGAATTGAAATGCATGTAATCTTGGGAAGGGCAATATCGTTCGGTTATTCATCGATAAATAACAATTACATGTAATTGCACAGTCGGTGCTACGAAGGGGGTAAAAACGGTGGAGGAAACATCGATAGCTTGATGGTAAACGCATGGTTAATTGTTTTAAAACGTTCTTCAAACAAAATCTGATATAAAAAAGTGAAATAAGTCACGCGATCAATTGTATCCTCTGTATGTAATTTATTTTCTTATTTACAGACTAAATATACAAGTGGTATGATGTGATTAAAAATGAATTTCCTTTGGGTGTCCTCCTACATTTAGACAAAATTCTAGCTGCAATACTTTCCAGCCAAAATGTAGTCCCCGATTATGATCTATAACGCTCATTTGGTTACCGAATTGCTCTCATGTCAAGTTTCTATAGGGACCGACCAATTTTACGGCTTAAAGACGCAAGGGTTAATCTGTTTGCAGTAACATTTTCATACCTTGTTGGGTGTTTCTTTTTATTAACCAGTTCGATGCATCCAACATGAAAGAAGTTATTAGGTCCTTGACAGCGATATTCATATTTTGCAATTTCTATAGATCAGTAAAAGAAATTTCAATATCTGTAATTGAGCAGCCGATGGTTCATGGCATTTACATGTTTTTATTATTGTTTAATTTATCATTTTCACTTCAAAACAAGCATCTCTAACAACGGAAATAAAAAATGTTTCTGAATAGCTATGATATCTTAGTCATCGTTATGCGAATCGGTTAGAATAGAACCTGTAAGCTTATCTGTTAACAATATTCGCGAACTTTAAATATCGCTGTATTAGTATTCACTTTAAGACCGTAAGAATCCATGATGATGATTGTGTTCTAACTTATATTTTCAACTCTTGTTCTCAAAGATTATAAATGTATGTAACTTAACAGGAAAATAACAACGAATTGTTCTATATAACATAGACAATGATAAACACCTGGTGTAATAATCATTATTATTTGTTGGGTTTCTGCGTACCTTTCGTCCTTTCATAATTTGTCCTCGTTTAATTTAATTTGAGTTTGAATTACGATTCTTTAACCAAGTTGATATTATTTTTTATTAACCAATTACTAGGTATCCGTAAGAGCTATTTATTAAAACGGTAACATAACATTGATTTAAACATTGATATAATACAAGTAATACTATTCCGCAATATTCAGGTTCAGTGAGCACAGAACAGTTCACTCGATACCCTAGGTGCAAATTGAGACAATGAACGTGACAACTAAATGTCTTTTTACAAAGTCCACATTACCAGAATAGGTAATTACTATTTCGCTTAAATGTTCGTGTTTTATTTTCATCGGTCTATAATTTTCGAAATCAATTTTATATTGAAAAGTATCTACATTATTCATACTTGCCTATGAAACTAGTATTAATTGTGTGTTAGAAAAAATGATTCAACGTCATTTCCTGCAACAAATCAATAATATAGTGTAGCGTGCTGAGGTCTTTATTGTCCTGGTTGAAGATCTCGATCCACACTGAATACTCTCATTAGGAGACGGAAAGATGAAAAAAAGATAAGAATTCCAGGTCACCATTTCAGAAGAAAAGAAAAAAAAATCAATTATATTTTCAATTTATGTTTCTCTCGATGAAATCCTTTGGCATGCAATCTCTCTGACTTACACAAGCTCATCCTAATGCAAAATCGATATCGATCGTGAATCTGGCTCGTATTTCATTATATTATGACCGAATCCTGGTGACATACACTCGGCGTGCCTTTAGTCGATATGTACTGAGATGTAGAAAGGTTCTACAAAAGACACACAAGTGAATAACACATTGGAAATAAAAATTGAATAAGAAATCGTGGAGCCAAACAATTAATTCAACTACATACATCGGTTTCGTCCATCTTGGACTTGTCAGCAATGCTAAGGACCTGAATATCAAACTCAGACGACAACTGATCGAAACGAATGAAAACATCAAGACGGGGAGATGCACTAGTGCCATAATTAAGAAAATTTCATAAATTTCATATATCTGATAATTTTTTTAAAAACGCCAAGAAAAACACCAATGGTCTGATGTGCTGCTGATACAATAATTGTTGCTTGTAAATAACATATCTATTGGTTCCACATACCTATATATGATATTAAAAAGACATGTTACTTGAATCTAGATTTCTTCCCGATATCAATTTATTTGAGAAATGAATTGTGTCTACCTGTATACTTTCACGTGAATTGTTTTAGCGTTAAAAAGAAGCTTCAATGTTTTATTCCATTACCTCAATATTGCACTTATCAACATTCTACAGTTTGAAGTGGCCATACTTTGTTCACCTTCCCAGTGGAATTGAGGACAGTAGCACTTTGTGAAAGGCTATTTCGTTATTTAATTAATAAGATATATGAACAAGACACCCACTACAACTTGTGATTCTTTAAATTGATTAGAATCATATTGCCTTTCTTTATATCGTTATGATTATATAGTGCGTACAAGTGGCATACTTGTACATCAAAAGGATGTCTCAAAATAAATGATACACGCACGACCAGCACCTTTGGTGTCACACTGCTAAACGCTCTTTGAAAATACGACTGACCCCAACTTGCCCTTTCTTAATTGTGTTCACCAAATTCAATATAAATGTATAGTGTGCTATCTTTTAAGGCTGAAACATCATTAGCACTTTTCCTCTTTACCCAGTGAGTTAGCGACAACTTCTAACCTTCAATGGTAAATAGTTTCTCAAACGAAATTAAGAATGCGACCCTCCGAGCATCAGGTCAACAGTGACCTCATCATAGTAAATATTTGATGCAGGAACCCATTTCCTCTCACTTATCAGAAAGAGTACATCGTTCAGACCAGTGGGTCGAAGATACCTTGCTGTCAGTCAAACGTGTAAAATTGAACATATAAAGTAAAGTGATCCTTTTGGGACAACCGTCCTTGCACTCTTCTGCGCGCCCCTGGATTTCACTCTTCTTGGCAGTAATTCTTTCTGACACAGTCATCGTAGTAATTTCTTGAAGATAAAATCTGCTTTCTCAACGTAGAATATTAGAATGGTTTACTTAGAATTAATGTAACGTAATACAAAGTCAAATATAGATGCATAGTCTAGTTTTGTTTAAAATAACATACATATGATCCTTTCGCCTCGAATTCACGAGCTCAACCTTTTAAAAAATATTTGTTTCTATAAGATATGTATTTGTCTTACTTGATTCTTCAAAAACAAATGTTGAAAAATCACACAAAAAGTGGGGGATTAAAAACTACCAAGATAAGTTTATCAAATCTTCAGAAGTAGAAAAATAATGAAATACATGGATTTTTTTTCTTTTTTGTATAAACTATGATTTTCACCTGTATCCACATTTAAAACAAGCAAAATTTGCAGGACTTCAGAAAAGGATTGCATTGTGTAGATTAACAAATATTCAAATTTGCGAAGTCTTACTTAACCTTATTTCAATATCACATGACAGAAAACGTATCTGATCACTATATTGGTACATGCAGATATCGCCAAAAGATTAAAATTTGTGATATTTATCACGAAACCATCGAATAACTACCATTAATGTGTTATTTCTCTCTGGTTTTTCTTCAGGAATTTGTCATGGGGCTATCAGTATTATCTCGTGGGACTTTACAAGAACGTCTACAGTGGGCTTTTAGTCTGTACGACATCAATGGAGATGGCATCATAACTAAGGAAGAAATGAACGATATAGTATCGGCTATATACGAAATGATGGGCAGATTCTCAGAACCAACCGTAGACGAGACAACAGCGCGCGATCATGTCGACAGAGTATTCCAGGTAAGACTTTAAGTCAATATATCTCAGTCTGTATGCCATTAGCATATATCATGGAAGCATATACGACCTAGGATATCATGCAGAACTGCACTATATACGAAAGTTTAAATGAAAAACAACAGCAAGATAATAACATTTCAACATAATCATTAACCAAACTTTAAATTTAATAAAACGAGGGCGGCAATGTATGAACAAAAGAAAGATTTACGTGGAGACTTTAAACAATACTAGGAGAATGAGGCTACGTTTTCCCGGAGAGTAAGCGTCGTCTGCTTCATTGATGACACCCGCCATGTAAATGCAAACTAGTAATGTCACGTTCTAAAATGAGAACAAGTTATAAAACCAAAAGGCAAGTCCTGCTACATACCGAAGGGAAAAAATATTATTTCTCAATGATATACTAGGACGGTCGTAAAGTTTACCCGTATTTCCCATCAACCTGCTTTGTTTGAAACCTGTCTTACGAGTTTGTCCTTTAGTTGACTTGTATGAAAATCGTGATAACTGAAACAGGCCCTTGGATATGGAATCAACTACGACATGCTAACACCATAGGTCTTGGATTAAGGAGAGTTATTATCCAGAAAGGGGAAATTTACAATAGGGAAAATGAAATCAAAGTAAATGTAGAGCGAGATGCTAGAGAGTGGTTTATACAGTATTGGAATCGCACAAAATTATATAATGTGTGATGTGCACGCGATGTCTGCACGATGTGAGCATGGCGTTTCTAGTGCGTTATGCGCTACTACACTGTAGTAAAGATATCATATCCACATATACGCTTTCCAAAATGAAGATTTCTATGAAAAATGTAGAAGGTGAGAATGCTAATGGAATTATGTGTTGTTTTTAAATTATGGAATTTTGCCTTATAGTGGACAAGAAAATGATATTAGACTTTCAGCTATTGGTATTTACGACATATATCTGATCTAACACAAAAAGATATTTGTTGTCCAGCATTTCAGATTTATTCCTAATACGCAATGTTTGTTATTAGGTGGTAAAATTATTGCGTATTTAACAAAATCAATTAATTAAACTATTAACAATCTTAATCTTAATTCAGCATCTCATGATTAATAGGACACGTTTTCTGTATAAATATCAATGTTCACATTAGTTAATCTGATTATCCTTATAAAGCACCATTTTGACAAGACCACTGAAGCACAAGGCTTCAGTAACGATTATTAACTTATCTATTCATTTTTATACATAGAACCATTTCGCCTTACCTCTTTAATCTGCAGCGTAAGGGCAGATAAGTCTTCCAATACTGATGTTTTGCCATTTTACTTGCATGTACAGCCGGTGTCATAATGCAATAGAAATGACATCAACCTCACTATATAACGTTGTTCTATGTTCTTAGATAAGAAATGTTTGATATGTCAAGCGGAAAACAGCCACTTTCTGTCATAGTTGATCCAAAATAAAGTTGTTTTCTCATTTTTTTTCAGAAAATGGATTTAAATAAAGACGGTGTCATATCATTAGAAGAGTTTATGGACACATGTCGAAGGGTAAGTGATGTATAGCATGTAATGTTTCACCATTAAGGCTAGTGGTGAATATATTTTCATCGTCATCATCCAGTATTGAAGATAATAAAATTCACTGACCTGTCGTATAAGTGTTCCTTTACATCAAAGCCATCATTCTCATATGTGGCAGGAGAACATACAATTTTATTTTCCAGATATGTTAATCTTTCTGATTGATTTCTCGTTTCTAATATCTGTCTTTTTATCATTTGCAGGACGAAAATATAACAAAAGGAATGGCAATATTTGATACTGTACTTTAGATTATTAAGATACTTATATAAATAAAATGACAATTTACAATTGGCTGACATACTGACCAGGTGTGGGGAAGCTGCCGCTCTGAGTGGAGAATGATGTGTAACTGGCAGATATACTGAGTGAGGAGTGGTGTTCCCTCGGAGTGTACAATTCAAACATTTTCACCTCAGTGGTGTGAAGTACATATATCGAAAAATATATCTGTGTGTACTTTGCACGCCATAATCAAACAGATGGAATGTTTCATCAGAACAAAGCCCAATTCTTTTTATACGATCTCGAATGTTTGTCACTGAATGGATTTAAATGATTTGATTACCTTTTGCAGATGTTTGCATAATTTTTACAATAATGATAACTTTTACTAACCACTGAAGTTGATTGTGAATGATGGACATTATAGTGTCCAGCTATGTTATCTTGCCTCCCATCGGCCAAGACCTAGTTACCGTCGGCTGACCGTTTAAGGTTGAAAGCTTGACCACGATGGACTTCAGCAACACCTTTTTTCTGTGTTTTGTGATTTAATGTGTAAATGGCGATTTGTTTATCACTTATAGTAAATGCACCATATGTTGAGCTTCCGATTACACAAGTTACCAAAGATAAAAAGTGTCACCGTAGTTGGGGAACAAAACCAAAACTTATTAAAATTACATGTTCCTTTCTTTCTTTGGCTAAATAATAAAACTGAAATAATTTTTTCGGAAGAAAATGTAAAAAATATGTGGAATATGATAACAAATTTGCAAAAAAGAAAAGAAAGGTTTCTTTAAGTTATCGGAATACATGAGGTTTATTCCTCTATAATTTAGCAGGTGCTTTTCTTTAACTATGAAGTGCAAGCATTAGTTTATGCTTGAAATGCCAACTGCGCCATGACGTCACACTTATTGCCAAACATACATATAAGTAGATAACCTATTGTAATTATGTTTTAATATGACTCAACCTCCAAAACTTGTGTGCTGAAGCATATTGATTTATTGAAGCACGTAATATTGACACAAATTAATCATTAGGACGTACATGTGTATGTTGATTGTGCGTTGTGTCATTTTGTTGTTTACGAGATAGAATGGATTCGTAAGAGAAGAGACGGTTATTATTTGGTGCAGTGGGGTTTTTCACTCTCTACCAATAAAAACCACGTGTTTGTTACATACTTACAGACTCCGGTCTTTTTTTCCTTTTCATCTTTACCTTTTTAATGTTAAAAACAGCACTGTCTACAGTGGGAAATATATCACTGTCTACAGTGTAAAATATATGTCACTGTCCACTGTGTGAAATACGTCACTGTTTACAGTGTTGTACGTCATTGTAGATTATGGTGATACAATTGTTCTTGACTTTTTTGTTTTTTGTTTTATTACATCTTGTGACTATTTGCCGGATTTTGTAGGCAAATGGATGCGATTACAATGTTACTGTCTTCATGATATAAACATTCGAACCTTATTGCAATATTTGTTGTTATTTAAATATGAATACATTGATAAATGAACATGCCAACTTTACAACGTTATGCTACTTTACTTCACCTGACACCAGACGTATTGATTAGATCCTCTTGTTTTGTATGGAAACCGCGAAAATTTTGCCAGCAAAAATAACTGGCTATACGGTAATCTAACAAATGACGTTATACCGGCTTCATTATGGTAACATGCTGACCCACGCAGGATGTACATTTACAGCTTCAAATCGATCATTTAAACATTCCTGGGTTTTCCTTATAAATTGATAAGAAAACAAACAGGAAAACAAAATATATCTGTAAACCAAATCGGCTGTCAGTTTTATTAAAAATCGTGCATGTTTACCAGAACCTAAAAGCAAACATTTTGTATGGATTCACCTTTTAATTCTGTTCCAAAATAATCTATTTTTTCTGCAATTTTAATTCATCATTGAAAATGGAACCAATAGGATATAATCATACGGTGCCTTGATAAATAATCTGGAAAAGGAGACTTGACATGTAAATAACATTATTCAACGATTATCAAGACTGTAATTATTGTCAGCATGAATGGAATCTGCACGAAAGGTAGTAATTATGATGTTCAGATGTCATTAATTCACCAGATATCCATAATAGTTTTTCTATACATTAAATGCAATCCGAGAATCGTTACACAGTAATGACAGCGTACGATGTAAACAGAAGGAAACAGAAGAAAAAGTCATGACTATAGATTAAAACATCAAGATTGTAGAGTCGAAATCATATAAAGGGAGATAAATACATCCAAACAATTCGTCTGCTTTTTTTCTGAAACTGCCGGAAAGATGCGTCAAAGAAATATTTTAATTTCGTTTGTTCTGTTACAACGTATACGATATTCTGCACCTGCCAAATAGACACAAAAAGAGTAAACATGGATATTACTTTGTCATACAGGCACAAATTATCTTTTTTTCATTTCCCATAAGCATTGAAATTTAGTGTTGCCGTGTAGAAAATAAATGAGTTTAAACTTAGCAATTAATAACAAACAAATGCCAAATATTTATTCTTTATTCTTCTAATATTAAAAAAATAGACAGAAAAAAATTGCGAAAGTAATGTTACAGGTTATTTCACAAAAACACTTAAGAAATATTCATACATGTATGGCAAGGAAGACTAAATCCGAAAGGTTAGCAATGCTTCAAAAATATTTTTCCGTGGAGAATTATTCTTCTGTCCTTAGTTATAAAAGTAAGAATTCGTTAAACCGTCCTTCATGAAAAAGGTATCTTAACTTTGTTGAAATAATCAATAGGATCCCATTTTCTTCCGATCTGTGGAAAAAATGAATACAATTAAGAGCTTGAAAAAGCAAGTATCCTAAGCATAAACGAGTTACAAATGTGTTATCAGCGTTTCCATTTTAACTCGATTTAATTAATTGTTAATTTAAAAAAATTACCTTTTGATAGAATATGTTTTACGGCAAGATTTATAATTTTCATGAATATTTTTTTAATGTTCAGAATATATAGATATAACGTAGTTCATTTAAGATGTTTCTATATAATATCAAAAAACATTAATTGAAAATTGACTTACGTGTCATTGGACTATACCCGACATTTCCGCCTGCGAATCCTGTCAGTCCGCTATAACCATTATAACCTCCTGAGAACATCTGAGGATATCCCATCATTCCTGTAGACATTCCTGTGGAGTAAGGGTAAAACGACGATCCTCCATATTGTCCTATCGATCCGTATGGCAATGAGTATGTTCCTCCAATACCGTTCGTGTAAAAATTGGACATGCCTCCAGATACAACCGGATACCCACTAGCCACGTAGGGATTTCCAGACACCATACCCGCAATACCACCAGTCATGTAAGGAGTGGAACTGTACCTTCCATACATACCGTTATAGACATTGCTACCACCAGCAAATGTTGAAGCATCTGGTACTATTGTAGGTGGCAAGACAGTGATTCTTGTTGATGTTCTGGTGACAGGTTGCAGTGCAATATCCGGAGTAGGCTCTGGTGTAACTATTCTTTCTATAAAGTTTGTACCAAACGATCTTCCCCCGGACATAAAACCATCGAAGGAGTTAAGCATAGGCTGAGAACCCATTAGAGGATAACTAGGTTGCTGTATCCCAGAAAATCCTCGAGTTGAAAAACCAGGATAAAAGTTCCCTGTCATCGTGGAAGAGTAACCTGGTTGGAAACCGCGTGAAAAACTGTTGGATATTCCGCCAATACCTCTACCATAGGTTATGGGTTGTGAAAATGGTGGGTAGGTCGCTAGGGCAACGCCAACAAGACACAATGTCAGGAATATCGACTCCATCATGCTAAACTGAAAGAAAATAGCATTTCATGTCGGTATTTTACAACTGTTATCATTCAAGAACAATAGAATCAGCACACTATAAACATAAAGAATATGCATCCCGACTTTGTCCTGATGAACGTCCTAGGAACTGGGAAATATTAATTGAAAAAATAATCTTCAAATTAAGTGTTCTATATTTTCTTTTGATAATACAATATCCACTTCTGAACTGTTTCATTTAAACACTTATATTTTCTTCAATTTATAATCTCAGTTCTTTACAGAACCTTTCTACCTACATTAAAGGTTAAATTTAAATATAACCCTGTTGTTGAAACAATATATCGGTTAAAGCGGATGGTTTCTTGTTTCAAATGGCACGCATTTTCAAAACGAAAATAATTTTTTTAAAAAGGCTTCAAAATGAAGGTTTTTAACATCACCGAAGAGACCTAGAAGTCCTCGTTGCAGTTTAAATCAATCTGTTGCAACTGTATCTTAATATCGATATGTATTTCAGGTATTGACTTGTGTGTCATTTGTACAATTTTCAAGAAGTCACATGATTATGAATACTAACTTGTAATAAATACGTCATTTCATTTTGAGTGATTATTTCTTGAAAAAAATAATGCCTACAAAGTTAACTGTTTGTTATATCTCACTTCTGTATGTTGAATGTACTAGCTGACTACGAAAAAAAAAACAACGAATAATGAATAGCTTACCTGTGTTAAAAAGTAGCCCAACGTCAACACCTTCAGACACCTTAATCAAGATCACTGGCCCTTACCACTTATATACATAACACATAATGACTCAGCTGGTCTGGGGAACACCCTGTAGAGTCGTTTCTTTAAGTTGACAGATTTGGGATTATCTTTTTTGTGGTATTATTTGTCCCATATCAACGTATGCGTTTTTTTAATGATTGATTATGCACAATGATATAATTAATGACTTCCTTTGACATAAATATGACAACATATCGAAGATAACATTAACCACCTTTGCATTTGATGACTGTTATGGTCAATAAAAAATACATCTCTATAAAAATGAAATATATATGTATCATGGGAATTTCTCTGTCAATAAGAAAATGATGTTTGTTTCCATGCTTACAAGTTCACTTTTTACAGTTTTCTGGTCATTGCACCAGGGTTCTTTTTGTATTGGTTCTATACTTCATTCGGGACAAGCTATCACAACAATCTATATGTTGTTAGGTCTGTCTGTATTAATTTATGAAATCTAACTGTATGTTAAAGATGTACGTTTATGCTACTAGTAACAACGCAACGGCCGTCTTTATCTGAAAAAGTTAAGCATATATCTCGTCATCGCTATTTCCGCTCGCAGAACAAATTATTGAGGCCCGATCAGGATACATTTTTTAAAAAGCTGCTTCAAATGGCGTATGCTTCCTTGTAATAAATATCTGTACATAAGTTTTATGTTACTTTATTTGTTTTCAAGGTTCCAGTGATAAGTATGTAAGAGATAAAGCCCTCACTCAGTTTTTACTTGATTCACTACATTTCAACGCTTTTAAAAACATGGATCGCAATAACACAAGGAACTGGTGCAATATACCTCTAATCATGTGTTAAAACAGTATCTGTAACTCATATTTAGTTATTAAAGATATGCCTTAAAAAGTTAAATAAGTTTTCAAATGTCAATTTTTGAAATTGAAAGAACTTAATTCAGGCGCTCAAAACGACGGTTTCACAGGCATTTAATTATATTTCCACAAGGTTCAAAAAAAAAATATATATATATATATATATATATCTACACAAAAATCATCTTCGTGTATTTGTCGATACTGATAGTGTGCTGCTGCTTTCTTTCGTCATTTAGGTTATATAGCAGCATTGCCGTTATATGCAGATTGTTTATCTGACTTTTTAACTTGTTCACATAGTGCATTTTTATCCCGCTGGACATCCTACCAAATAACTCGAATTCCAATTAAAAATCGTCGTGTTTAGCATAAAAAATGTGGTTTTTAAATATGATTAATTGTCAGTTAAGTGTTGTTCATAAGAATAAAATACCACAAGGATAACTAAACCCAGAAAATATAACTAGAAATATAATCACTGGTAGAAGGAGGAATAACTAGAATCTGTCATAATAAACATTGATTCTTCATCAACAAGACCAATTGTAATCATCATTTATCAATTTGTGTAATGAAGTCATTATATACTATGTTAACTGGTAAACAAAAACGCATTCGTGAAACGTAGGATATATATCAAAGAATGTTTAATATTGACTCTACATTTATCGTGATCAAACAACTATGCCTTATAAAATGGCACAAAATACGGTTATATGTGTATGAGAAAATTGCTTTTATTCTCTACTCTGTCATATGTCTGTAGCCAGAATATTCATGAAAAATAATCTATCTAGAACTCAAAATGATAGGAATAACTGATTTCTGAGAAATATCTTGTCCATCATCTATTTAAGTCGATATTATTCTTTTTTCTGATTGATCTTACTTGATTATTTGTAAAATAGACAATCGAATTTAGAAAAACGGTGACATCATTACAAAAGTGAAATTGACATGTCCCTTGTTTTACTTCAGCAAACCTTAAAGAAAGAAACGTTGCATATGAACGATCAGCCATTTTGATTTCGTATCAGTACACAAGCCAATTAAATAACATCACTATGGACTGACGGGTACCTAGAAAATAATATGATTTTTTAATCACAAATTATCAAGTAATTTTCAAGAAATGACAACTATTAATCGACGATGGTGCTTGGCACTCTCCTGTGTGCCCAGACCTTTGGCCGTGCTCCCCTATGCAGTAATCATCAGCGATGAGTGAATCTGGGGTATGATCAGTCACTGAGTCTGATCGAGGATTACATGGCATGAATAAAACCCTGACAATGGTATAGACAACACATAGACAATCTTCGTAATTACGGTGGGCCATAATACACAATAAATATAACCTATTTTTACGCTGTCTGTCGTGTCATAGTGCGAGGGAGGTCCATACTTATTGTGACATTTATGTTTGTACACAGCTGTCACTTATGATGCCTAGTGTGTCGGGGTCATTGGCTGTCGGCTTACACTTGTATATAAATACTGAGTAAACAATATAAGCATATTAACATAAATTATTTTCAATTCATCTGCGATTAATTACGATTCAAGAAGTGTGGGTTTTATACCCTTTACATAACAACATCAATATCTTTAGCATCTTATGCAGAAATATCTGTCCACCGTTCTGTTCTTGAAGTTATCTTCGCTGATCTCAGGTTCAATGGTCTATATAGTGACAATTTCACGAAACCTGCAAGTGAATGACGGTCCATGTCAATTAACACGAGTTTATTCACTGCACTGCACAGCAATCATGTTTAATAAAAACTATTTGTCTTCATTGCCAATTAGAGGTATTATATACTGATTAACATAACATATTTTAATAATAAAAAAAAACTGAATTGTTGAACAAAGTGAGTTGTATGACAAAGAAAATGTTTTATAGTTCTGTGCATTTATTTAAACCTGATAACAAAAATGTATAAAAGCTTTAAACATTGCGATATACCAGTTTTGGTAACACTGGCGAGCGAGTGTCTTTGTGGTGGTAAGATCTGCCCTCCCCCCTGTTAGCTGGCTCGCTTTTGTGTTCATATGAGGCTGAATTTGTCGGAGAGCTTATCGAAACAGGTCGCAAAGACCTTGCAAAGTCGCTTAATTTCATTTTCAGATATAATGATGCCGCCTTTAAATAACAAGAGATAAATAACTGATCAATGTCAATCGTGTATACAAACAAGAATTGTAAAAAAAACTGGAAATAAAGAATACGACATTTTTTTTCAGTCGCTAACCTCGATCTTTTCAAACAATGAAACCATTAAGAACAGTTGCCTACGAAGCTGTATGATAAACGTGATGATTTTAATATCCGTATTGGGAATTTTTCATAAATAGATATTGACTTTCCTACATCTCTATCTTATGGCATTTACATGTCGAAACTGATTCGATTTTCAATGGCTTGTTCCGAATATCGCGACTTTGGTACGAGACATACAAACAAAAACTCAAAACAAAGTTTAGAGAGATTCAGGTTGATAACAGATATAGGGACGTTTTACTGTCGTCATAGTGGTTTTATTGAAAACTTTGTCTTTGTGAGATGTGGAAAAGGAAGTGTGCTTGTTGATCGTTAGTTCATCTCGTCAGTTCAGCAGAAGACGCTTCCTCTTCCGGAACACGTGTTATTATTCTCCATATACTACATATGTTACGCTGCCTGTCATATTATACGTACAATTACAACAGGTGCTTAGACAGGCATGCACTCAGTAATTAGTTGGTAGAGTTTTGCACGTCATCATAATGCACATGATACATCATGATACACAGCTTTAATACTCGGCATTAGATTTCTTTACAATGTAATATTATTCAATTTAATAATTACTCCTTGTGGTTATTGATTATTTTAGTGGAACTAAACCTTTTCCATGCCTGTGAAAATATTTCGTTTTAACACGTATATATGAAATTACGAAATGTATTGATTATGGAGTTGGTGTACCTCCGTCAGTTAAAGTTTGAGATTTTTTCATCTCTTTGGGTTGCCCCATTCGTCTCAAAGGTTTCATGTCATTAGTATATCTGACGAAACCTGGAGGAACGAAACAGTTTTATGATATTCAAACGTCAAAGTGAATGTTAAATTTGTTTGGCTCTACTCTATCCAACTCTAAATTTGTTTGCATAAAAATGAACTAGTCACATGCATACCTTTGAACAATCCCCCAGATGAACGATTAATTATATTTACTTTTTTTGAATTGATCAATGACCCATCGTCCGCACAATAAAATACATCAAAGCTTATACAAGGACAGTTCATAAAATAAACCAATTGTGATAAATTGGTCTATATTATGATATATGACGTTGGTACTGGTCTCCATGCGCGAGTTGTATATTACAGTTTGATTCAATGTTAAACTTTATTGTGTCTTACTTTGAACTTGTACTAAATACCAAAAGGAGTACAGTTTTCGAGATTACAGGTGGCAGACACTACAGGTAGACTTTTTGTCTTCGTTGTCTGCCGCAACCTGCATGAAATGTTTTAAGTCATTCGAACAGTGGCACGGTTCCGAACATTCAAATATACATGACTTTTTTTCTTAAATCAATAGAAAATTGCGAAATTTATTTAATTTTGGCATCACTGTACCATCCTCTATTGTTCCAGTGATCCCATTACCCACAATTATAGTTTGGTATCGATTGCCTTGTTTGTTTTGTTTATTTTGGGTTGTCCGTCCACGAATTACCCAAAATACGATGTAATATGAAAATGAAAAATGATCGGGCCACTAACGGATGCTATATTGCGGGGTCACCATCTGGCAACAGTGACATGACACATCGTCCAGTCAAATTACAATAAAGACAGCTTAATCAGTCCTTATGGATCATATTCAATATCGAGTGACAAGCATGGACTACCAAGTGTTATTCTAATTATTTTGGTACATCACAGAACAGAACCCGTTGCTTACTTTGGTAGATGCTTAAACCGACTCTCCTTTGGAGGCAGTGTCAGAAAATTTTGAAATGTACAGTCACACTTGGTCATCATGAACTCGTATAACTCGAAGACACTGTTTAATTCGAACTGTTTCTCCTGTCCAGGAGACGATTTTATACAAATTTTTAAACTCGCGTTAATCTCCCGCGGTCCCACCGATTTCGAGATAATGAGGTTTTACCATACGATAATCTTCTTACAATGAAGAGGAAAATACCGATTAAAATCGCCATTTACGTTCTTGCAACCGGGTCAATGGGTAAAATTCTGTCGTCCTGGCAACATGTCATTGTGACCTGTTAGGGTTGGATTTAAACTCCGTCATCAGCATAAATTAGGCAGGGGCAATCTGTATGAACAGCATTATGATGGATCCGTCACTTGCCTTATTCAAAGTAAACATTTGCTTTCAGTTACGCTGTCTGTCGTGTCGTAGTTCGAGGGAGGTCGTTGTTTATGGTGACATTTATGTATTGTACATAAAGCTGTCACCTATTATGCTTAGTGTGTCGGGGTCATTTGTAGTCGGCTCACACAGGTAAACAAACGATATATAAATATATGAATGATTTTATTTCATATGAGATTGATGAAGCAATTTAATTGGAGATTCTGTCTCTAAGAAAATTCATATTTTGGCTAATATCGATGAAACTTTGGTTTACCGTGCTGTTCTTGGCGCCATCTTCTCTAATCTTAGGTTCAACGTTCTCTATAGAGATGTCGTAATGAAATCTACAAGTGAAGGTCGTCTCATGTCGCCTCGCGCGACTTCATTCGCTCCATTCACGAGATAAATATCGAATTAACTGCAAAGGGGCAAAATTATCACCAAAGAATTTTTCATTTTTTTAATGCAATTTTGTAAAGGGGAAAATTATTATAACACAATATGTGTTCATTTAACATACAACCGATAGGCAACTGTTATTTCAAGAATGTAATTATATTTAAACATTAAGTTTATTGGTTGAATTTCAAAATGATACAAAAATGATACAAAAATGATACAAAAATGATATAATTCTGTAAAGAGAAATAACTTATTGATTTCAATGCTGATAAAACACTTTTAATGACAACCAAGTTAAAATATCTAAGCATGACTTTTTTGTTAATATAGACGAAAAATATCTTTGTTAGTTTTCACTTTTCTTGCAAACGATTATATTTTACATGTAAATTACACTAGAATATTTCTATATAATTTTAACTTGATAATGGTGCCAACAGAACATATTGAGACACTAAACAAAAACATGTAATCGACAAAATATGCGTTTCTAACATGTCGACCTAATCAGTGACAGATCTATATATCAAGGTCATATTTCTATTCCGTTATACAACTACTTTTTTTATTATTATTAAGTTCAAAGATATGACTCGCATTTCTCTTTAACATTCCGGCAAAACATCTTTTTACCCCGAGATGAACAATATTGGAAGTCCCTTTTTTCTAATTGATCAATACCGCGCCGACCACACAAGTAAACCAAAACCAATACATCAGGATACATTAAATGAAACTAAATAATTGTGACAAATTAGTTTATAACATGACATGTGGCGGCGGTACTGGTCTCCATGCAACCACAAAATTACTCTTCCTTATAAAGATATGTCTAAAAGTATAAACACTTTGATGAATGTTTGTTACAGTATGTTAAATTTGAATTTTAAAAAAATGACGTGTAACATGTGTTTGATTTCTTTAATGAATACATTTTTAATCTGGAATCCATCAGTTTGTTGATGACTTTCACAATTTTAAAGACATGTTGATGAAAAAACAAACACCTAGTTATCAGTTTTAGTTTCGTATATTTTAAGATTCAATTACTTTTTTACAAAATCCTACAAATTTGCAATACCACCGAAATACATAAAGGCTTTATTCTGAATACCGTAGTTGGAGAGCGACTGAAGAATTTCATTGTAATCGACATTCTTCCTGATGGTCACTTTGAGGCATAGACAAATTCATTACATACAATGGAGAACATTACTAACGAGTTGTTGCTCGATTCTGATACATGTGTTTACATGTAGATTCGTAGGAGGAGTTGTCTTTCTTTGTCATGTTAACCACACGAAATGACTCCACATCCGGAGTGTATCAGACAGTGATCGATGTGAACATGAGCACTTGTAGGTCAAGGTGTGATCGTTCTATACCTAAAAAGGCTGTGACTGGGTCACTCAGTAAAGGTGTCTGTCTGATTTTATCACTTACTTTACATCTAAAAGAAATCTTTATTTCAACATTCTTTTTTACATAATTTTATACTATATGTTTATATGAAATATTCTCATTCTTTATCAATATGACGCTTAATATTTCCATCATATTTCAGGGCATATAGATTCACAACGAAATTCTGTAAGCATTTTCATTTTGTGTCATCGGAATTCTGTAATATTTTAACTATTTATATTAATTATATAGGTGTTTATACTTATTACTCACATACGCCTTAATATTCAGATTCCTGTGATTGTTTTGAACAATGCTATAGGCGGTGCCAAACCTATCTGTGAAATTGCACCTTTCCTCTTCAATACTGTAATGCCTAATGAATTATCTGAAGTGTGCATGTCACTGATTATACAGGAAACAAAAGATATTAAAGAAAACAAAAATGCAGTAAAAGCTATCAGTTTTAGTCGTTAAAGGTGAAAACAGAACGAAAATACTAATATATAGACAAAAACTTAATTTAATCTGAACTATAAGCAATTGACGGATATAGGATATCGAATAGACATTTGTTTCATATTTGGTCACGTTTAGACGACCAGGGGTTCTGCAAGGTTAAGTGCATTCTTTTTCATCGATGGCACCTGACGTATGATGAGATTACCGGAACGAATGGTAAAGAAAGGGGATTATAAAGATATTGATGGACAGGTACTTCGTGTAAAGACTTTTGAATTCATTTTCTGATAAAGATAATAGTTAAGTAAGTTGTAACGTATTAACGCTACGGTGTGTTTGTTGTCAATAAGTTGTGAAACCAAATAATTTATAGACTATTAGAAGACGTATTATGGTACAGTTTGATAATATTTGGTATTAGAAGAAATGGATACACCCAACTCTACGATAGGCAAATACTATTTATTTATTCCAGACAATAAAAGAACAAACACGACAATACAATGGACAAACAAAGTATAAAATGATGTAAATGTTACACCACAGGGCACGTGATTAGGTAGGAGCAGTTGTGTTTAATAGCTGTAACGTCCCTTACCTGGAAATAAGAAAAAAAAAGTTTCGTGAGATCAAGCAGATTTATGTGTGGATAAGTTCGATCCTTCACATAAATAAACAAAAGAAACAACTAAGTAAACAATCCAAATCAAAGCCGGATTGATACATGTAGGAAATTTACAGCAAGATTAGGGGTATACATAGTTACATGCTCTACGTTAGTTAAACGATTTGTCAAAACTACAATAATTTATGGATGGTAATGCCTCTTAATGACATTTCAGGATGATAATTATTTGTAGATACAATATGAAAATATACAAACCAAACACAAATATCAACCAGCTATATATAGGTATCATTTTAGAAAGAGCAAACGCAAGCCATCTAACTCGTTGTTTTGAGTTTTTTTATCGGATATTTACCCTTTGGGTATCTGCGGTTCCAACTGGGGTATCGCCTGCCGCCTATGAAACCGGCTGATCCTCCAAAGGGTCCCCTTCCATATCCGCCATAGGCATATCCCTGGGGGCCGGCTATCCCCCCGACGGCTCCTCCCCAAGATGGGTAGCGTCCATATCCCATAGAGCCAGATGTGTATGATGGATATCCTCCGTAGGATTGATAACCTCCACCCAAGTTTCCTCCGATCCCATACCCGGACTGGCCATAACCCATTCTGTTAAAACCACCGTAGCCGCCCATTCCGAACCCGTCATCCCCGTCGAAACCATATCCTCTATAACCACCTCCGTTGTACATATTGTACGTGCCGGTGCACACACCCAGGATAACAGCTAGAACAAGGCCTGCGGTCCACATCATCCTGTAATTTCACATTTTGAATGATATTATTGATGTATTAGCTTAAGCTATTAGTAACACATTTAGATTATCATTACGCAATAAAGTGTTAGTTTCTATATTTGCTGATCAATAGTTGTCCTCTAAACGATTACATGTATGTAGATTTACTGGTATCCTCTTCGTAACGGCTCTTTAACACAGGAAAATATTATTACTAGGGCCAACAGATGTTTGACAAAATTCAAAGACACCAAAAAACTCACACTGTGATAGGGAGTCCAAAAATGATCGGGATCATGCTAGAAACAAGTTTTTTCGCTCCGTTCATTCTTTGTTAACTATAAAGCGATGAGTAAATATTTCCGTAAACGCCGCTTTGGTCTGGTTAGAATAGACCACGAACTTCATCGGTTTGAGTGAAGGGTGATTAAGATAGCTATAATGGAACCCAAGAGATTTTACCAAATATATATATATATGACGTAAACAACTTACTATCAAAAACTATTTTTTGACGTTTTTCTAAATTAATTTATTTAATATTACTAGTAGAAAATGTGTTAATACAAATGATATTTATTGAAGCGTTTATAATACTGTAAATCAACAACTGTAAGTTTGTGACATAAAACATAGTTGGTGTAACTAAATGTGCTCCCAGATGTCTATTTCATTGTACAAGAGAAGCACAATCGAATAGAACCATTTCATAATTTAGAGTGAGATACAGAAGAGCCAAACAATGAAATTAAACTTCATTATACAGCTGTTTCGTTCTTCTATAGGACTCGTCAGTGATGCTAAGGGCCTTAAACTTGAGGAAAACCCAAAGTGATCTAAAGGAAAGTAAAAGTCTATATGGGGAGGTGCAGCGGCCCCATGATTAGATAAATGTCGTAATTTTTATACATCAGATAATTTTAGAATAACGACAAGTAAATATATACAACTGTTAATGCACTGTATAACTGATTTTTTATGTGACTGACAAAACCATTGTTTTAATATCACGAACGAACAATTATGGTAAAAATCAGTTGGCTATATAAAATCGGCAAGGTTTTAGTTCTTGTAGTTTGCATTTCAAGTTTATGAAGTTGTTTTCAAAATAGATAGCCAACACTTGATTTCAGTATATATCGTTAACATATTGTATAAAAATACGTAATGTGCAATGAAAACGAAAGAGGTTTAAGTAATAAAACATTAATAGTATATGTTATATATGTATACAAGATAAATGATTTTATTAAAGAAAAGACAATCTAGCGTTGATATGTTGAACGATGATGTATTCTACCAGATTTTTGTAAGAAAAATAAACCAATGCAGAATACATTCATGTGAAAATTCGTAGGTTACTAATACAAGATATTTGAATATTAAGAAAAGTTACCTCTTAATATATACCAGTATCAAAAAAGAAATCTAAGTTCGTATATATTGAATACTTACCTTCTATTGTGCTGAGCTGGTCAGTTTCTTGTAGTAGTGTGTTCAAGTATCGTCTGATTTATGCGGCAGTGGTCAGCCTATTTATACAAACTTCCATCTGTTTCTTCCTGTAATAAAGCTGTTTTGTTTTGCATGAATGACATGACAGGAGAAAAAAAAAAATTCGATCAAACATGCCCGCACCTCTGACCGTTATCGACCTTAATGGACTTTAAGCAAACTCTCTAACGATGGTCTAAGAGTGTAATCGTGTACTGGACGTAATGCACGAGCAACCTAACAAGTGAAGCGGTCAGTTGATTGTATTATGTGTCACGTGAATCGCTTGACCGCCGCCTACCTGACTGGTGAACAGGTTTATATAGTCCAAAAACCATCACAACTCCTATCATTCTGTTTCCTGCTGTCATTATCATTATGTACATATATCATTCAACATATCTATAAGTCATTCCATCTTAACTTGCTTCCGCAGTTTTTCAGATTGTGAACGACTTATTCAACCAATTCCCATGTTTGCCTAATTTTATTACTCTCGTCCATGACGGTCAAGGAACATACACATCCCCAACTACTTTTACGTGCACAATGATAAGACTAAGGAATCGAATATTGTCTTTGGTATAGTTTGAATTTGCGTAAATATTTACAAAATTGCATTTGAGACGACAATGTCGCTTTTACGCAATGAAAATGCAACATGTACATAATTTTGAATTAAAAACAAATTAATTTAGCATATTCATTATTGAATTAACTCGCACATATAAGACATTGGTAGTAACTGCAGAATATAAGAAGGAAAATGTATCAAATTTGTGTTGAAGTGATCTTCATGAATTAAGTGATTAAGCACGTCTAATATATAACGTCTTGAATTGAGTAAGACTTTCTTACTTCAAATGTATTACCTCTTGAATTGAGTAAGACTTTCTTACTTCAAATGTATTACTTCTTGAATTGAGTAAGACTTTCTTACTTCAAATGTATTACTTCTTGAATTGAGTAAGACTTTCTTACTTCAAATGTATTACTTCTTGAATTGAGTAAGACTTTCTTACTTCAAATGTATTACTTCTTGAATTGAGTAACACCCTTCTATTTATTACATCTTTAATAAATTAAGATTATTTACTTCTTTGATAAAGTCATGTTTTTTTCAATTGTAATGTCTTAAGTAAGATTATCTTGCCTTTTATGTTTGTTAATACAAATCGTGCACAACGGAATTCGATGGTTAAAGGTCAAGATGACGAATTCGTTTAATTTTTCGGGTGGCCCAGTGGAAACGTACTCGCCTTTCACTAAGACGCTCGAGGTTCGATTCCCCGAACGCACGTGAAAAGGTCACTGGTACCTATGTAAATTCATCTTTCCGTTCACATTTTGTTCGGGTACTCAAGTTTCCTCCCTCAGCTGGACAACTCGCGCGTTTAATACAAAATAAAAACTTTCTTCAATTGAATATGCGGGTTTTTTTTCGTTTGTCATGAGTGTTTGTCTGTTAACTATTTCAAAAGTAGACTTTAATATAAATAAAATAAATATATGTAAAAATATGAAACGATATTTTGGCTATTGATCAGTTCAGTAACATTAGAGTAAAATTCGATACCCTGTTATCAGGAAAAAATCTATTTGATATCATTTACAAAACCTCCGACTTAAATAAAACAACACGATTTTTATTGTAATAGGGCTTTCCCCCATTAATTTGATGTTATTTCATCGGAAATTTTGCTCTGTCTATTTCCAGTTATTACTGTTCGTCAGCTTTGTGTTGGATTTTGAATAATGTTATATAACTAAAAACGAATAATATAATGTATAGGACATACTGTATAAACCCTAAGCTATATTTATCTTCGAAAATGGATATTTAGCCATATTCATTATCATTATTTACAAAATTATATATAAACTTTAAGTTACATGCATCAAAATCAGTTTTCATTTTCCACAATAGAGTTCATTGTTGTTTCGTTTCAATAGACTATGCTCTATACATTCCATTGCCTTGATCATTCTGTCAGCTATAACTGTGTTATAACGTCTAGGCCACGAGGTAACAATAAACACAACTTTTATTACAAATGTCCGGTCAAACGACTCCTTTATTCACTGTATAACCTTTTTGGCCTCATCTGCTTGCATTATTGTAAATGTATGCATGACATTGTTAACTATAACCAAATGATATGTTTTGTATTTAGAATCTTGACAAATTGTAAGAAAATAAACTTTTTAACATTATCTGTGATTGTAAATAGAAAGTATCAATGTAACAAATGTGGAACTTAGAATGTTAAACATGTTCATATAGCAAAACAATAAGGAAGCCCACATAACACCGGGCGATGAAGGTTTGGCAGCAATAAGTATTGCAAGCTGAATGAAAAAAAAAATCGGATTCTAAATACTTCATTGACATTTGTCCTATATTGGCAATACTTTCATGTTCGACCTTAATAAAATACGTACGTAAATTACACCTCAATTTACCATTTAAACAAACATATTATTTAATTTCATATTGTGAATTTTCCAAATTTTGGATAGCAATATACCTGCATCTCCAGCTTATGGTATTTACATGTCACAGTTGATTTGATATTCCGGATCCCGTTCCCATTATCACGATTTTCGTGCAAGACGTTGTCAACTGACTGACAAACTCTTAACACAAGGGGCCAAAAGATGCCGGTTAGTGAAAATTATGGGAAAGTTTGATGGTCGCCATAGTGATCTCATTGAGAAATATTGTATTTCTTTGTGTGACATGAAGCTGGACTTATTTAATGCTCGTTTGTTTGCCTGTTGGTTTGATTATTGTAAACCTTGGTCTCATTTAAGAATGTGACACTACTCACTTGGATTGGCAAAGGTTTACATGGCGGATGTCGTCGATTAAGCATAAGACGCTTACTCTTCTGGAACGACTGCTCTTATTCTCCTTATACTTTTTCATGAGTGTAAATCGTTCCATTGTTCATATTTATTTACGTTTTATGGAATTTGAGTTTGAATTATGATTATGTTGCCATGTTGGTATTTTCTTGGTGTTTTTCATAGATCTAGCTATGTCGATTTACAACCTTTTGCTAGGCCCTGATTGCGTCATAGCAGGTTGGCGATGTTATAAGGAAACATTTGATTGCGTCATAGCAGATTGGCGATGTTATAAGGAAACATTTATGTACATTATGTAAAAATAACCCTAACGATGTGATAAAATTGTATCACTGGCAGAAATTTTAGTGAACAGCATCTGTGGTATTCAATACGCTGCAAAACCTCTGTTATCCAGTGACCTTTCAAGTCCGGATTTCCCGATGCGCTATATTTCGACGGTTTGGCTTGGAGTATTCCTACCAATTTTACTTGTCCAAACTGACCACCGGAGAGATATGGTGATGCTAACAATATCTCTGAAAGCCATAAGAACGAGTTTTTGAAATATAAAGAGCAGCCAGAAATTTTGTAACTTAATTTGAATATCCTTTTAAATATTGATGGGCTGATGATCATATAATGAATAGGATCCGTGGTGCACTGAACAA